TCGGATCTCGCTCAACCGCGTCCGGTGGTTGTCATCAAACTGGTCTCTGAGGATAGACTCTGTTTTGAACGTAAGTTGGCTTCAGGTTCTGGTAGTAGAGGCTAAGTGCACATCCAAACACCTCGAATGGAGGTAGACTGCACGGCGCATACGAGAAGGCAATGGTCAACTCTGAAGTTTGGTGCTGAAGTAATTAAATGGGGGTGCCACTCAGCCCACCTCTGCATGTCTCTCTCCCCTCCCTCTCCATCCCTCCGTTCCATCTCCCCCCCTCTAAAAGGCTTAGACAGCGCCGTTTATCGACGGGGGGGGGGGGGGCATTCTGCTTTTCATAGATTTGCCAACCCATCTAGACCCTTTTTTCGAGTTGACACGTTTTAGGATGGTGGCTAGACGATCTTGCTCCAGCTTCACAAGCGTTCACAAGTTTTACCAGAGTGAGATTTGTAAACCGGAACCAGGGAAGCAATTATAATACAAAATGCCCCCCCCCGTCGATAAACAGCGCCAGCTTAGACTTAAAGTGCAGACGACCAAAATCGACTGGGGGTAGTCTTGAAAAAAGAGAAGGACTTCCACCAGGTCGGAACCTTGCCTAGGGGAGAGGATAACAAGGCGCTGACAAGTGCTCCCTTTAACTACGTTAACTCTGTGCGATTTTTCCATTCAGCGATCGGGACTTTTTCGCGACTTCCCCTATCTAGGAGAGGGTCTCGGTACGACCCTTTCCCAGCACCTACCTACCACTTTCCTACGAGTTCTCGTCTTCCTACCACCTTTTCCGGAATTTTCCGCGAATTTTCCTATTTTCCCCAAATATGTTGCTGTCGAGGTGGGGGGGTATATAGCCTTCGAAACGGGAAAAATCACGAAAAGTCAACAACCGAGAAGATTTTTTCCCAAATTCTCTCGAAGGCACACACGACCCCCCCCTTCTCCCAAAAACGACCGATTACGACTCCTTCCCAGCGGCCAAGTGCGATCCCCCATGTTTTTCACACAGCGATGCTGTACCCTGCCTGGAAGTCTCCCGATAGGTCAGTCGCCATCAACCCGCAAGCGGCCTGTCTCACGTAGGGGTGGTGGAAATTTCTTGTAAAGTCACTCTGTTCCTCTAATACTCAACTGAATTCATAAATCGTTAAACATGAATGCCATTGCGCAAACAAGTTTTTAAGTTCATAACTGATAAATGAAGGAAGGTGGTGGCGCGCTTACCACTCGCGCTGTTGGGGTCAAATACTGCACCGACTCTCGCCCAGGCCAGCCAGTCCTTCTACTCTCCGGGGACGGTAAATTGGTACCAGATTCGTCTGGGAGGATAAGAACACTGACTTGTACATCGGCTGGCCCCCGCAAGTCATTGTATAGGCCACATCGCATTCAATAAGTCGCCGGTCACTGCGATTTTGCATGGAAGTAGATTACGTGCCGCGTTGAAACTTTCGCAAAACAAGACTTTAAAAGGCCTTTACGTCCGCTAAAAGCGTCCAAATGATAGAGCGATTGATAAATCCTTCATAGGCTTCCTACTGATGATGGGAACGGCCTTATTGGTCTCAGCCAGCGAAGCAAACCACTTATGGTGGATGACCTGACCGTGAGACTTGCTACGTCCCCGGCTTTCTTGTGTTAAAAGTCCCAAAATCCGAAGTTTTGATCGGCACATTCCGCAAGCTCGTATCCAACCACTTCTAGAGTCCCGTTTCCTCCGAAATGCTATTTCAGGAAAGGAGGAACGTTTTTCATTAGATAGTGTTAGTAGTAAAGGGATACTCCGGATCACTGGGCCATAGATGTGATTGGAACTCCTCACCAAGGAAGTCCGCCTAGTTACCGTGGAACTTCGAATGGAGACCTGGGTAGATCTTTATAAGGTTTTACAAATATAGATAGCAAAACTGCAACCTGCATTTCACAAGCAACTTATGAGCAGGTAGTTTGTAATGGTGCAGTAGGGTGGAGGCTTGGTGGTGAGCTGTGAAGCATAAGCGAGTGGAGGGAAGGTATACTTCGAATCGAGTTCCGTGGTGGTTCAGCTGGTAATAATATCGACGGTTCGGCAGAAGTTGATTCGACGTATGCGATTCCTCGCTTATGCTTACACTCAACCACGAAAGCCTCCGTAGTGCACATTACAAACTTTATATGCAGCTCATAATTTAACTTTGTGAAATGCCAAGTTGCAGTTTTGTCACTATACTTGTAGAATAAGCCTGTTAGACTCATATTGCATCTAGCGCAGGTCTCCATTCAGAGTTCCAATGGTAAGTTCCCTGGTCAGTGCTCAATGCATCTAATGGGAACGACCTGTCGGTGGAAGAATGGTATCAAGTGCTAATTAGTGAGGGAACAACCGTGTATTGCATAGTATCGAAATGAAAGGTTATTTCAGCAATACTTCGTAACGATCTTTCTTGTAAGCACTTATAAAACCAATCAAATCACCAATGATTCAAAGGAATCTGTGTCAGAATGCCAAGAAATCTGAATGGTATCTGCGACGTGCAAAGTTCTAAGCGAGTCCTAGTCGTTTTGTTCGCAGCTAATTCCTCGTGAGTGGATGGCCCCGTACAGGCGGTATCTCTTTGAACCGATGACCCTCCCGCCCATCTCCGGACTCCTTTCCTATTCAAATACTCGATCGATTGTGTCATTCATTGGTTCTCTATGATGGGAACGAATCGACATTCCTTTAACTGATGTCGTTTTAAAGGTTTTCATACTTCTTGA